TTAGACAGTCTCTACAGCCGAGGTGTGGGTCAAGATGATCTTCACATTGCTGGAGTTGGCAAGTCACATGAAGTACTGTTTGTTTCTCCTTCTCTGGATGTTAATGCCAGTGAACTGGCATATGAGGCATGCTCTGTACAAACTTCTGCCATATGGATTGTGTGTACTGGACCTGATCTGATTCTACAGGAGACTGCTTGTTATTTGAATCTGTCAGTTACCTCCAGCACATCTGATTCATGTACTGGATGACTTTTTTCCATGGCATTCTCCCTGCTGGAGTGGAGTACTAGATTGTCCCTGGGACGATACCTTCCCTCTTGCATGACGGGAGTCACCTCCAAAGGATGAGAGTTTGTCTTTTTCCCAATTCCCTTTTCAGTGCCCATGTCCCAGGGATCCCAGTTGCTGGGCTTCACTACCATCTAGTTTCATGTCATGGGCCATGAAGCCCCAGCATTGGAGCAGCTAGATGACCAGGAGTTCATTTGACGGCAGCTGAAATCTTCCTGTACGTCTCACAGCTCACTCAGGGGTTGGGATTGGGTGATTATCTTTGGCCCTTCCTCTTCCTGCTGTTGTGAGGGTTCTGCTTCCTCTTCATCCCTCACTAAGTGAACTGATTTGATCTTGGATTTCTTCTTACGTATAGGGCAACTCCTGTTGGCACAGATTCATCCTATGGTTCAGCTGCTGTTTGAGTGGTCTCAGTGGCTGCTTGTTTTCCTCCTGTTCTCCCTGAGGGACTGTCTAGTACTGAGCGCGGTCTGGTAAAGAATAACCACTGCCCAACACACTGATTTCCTCCCTTCCGGAGATGTCACACCGTCCTCCTTGAAAACACACTGTTGCTTTATCAGTATCCTGTAGTTGTTCAGGGGTGAACTTCCAAACCATTGAAGCAGAGAATTTCCCCCAAAACTGGCCCATTTTCTCCGACATTCCATGCCACTCGTGACAATCCACCCATGGAGCAGACCTTAGAAACCTCTCTCCGGATTCTGAACATGGTGTGGGCCACACTGACTCTAGACGTGGTACAGACTGTACTCAAGAGACAGAGCAACAAGACCATGCTTTTTTTAACAGCGAGAGGAAATCCAAAATTCTCAAAAGCTGGTTTAATAGCATGGTTTATGACAAAGGGCATAAAAAGCTGGAGGAAATTACCTGCCCCTGTTCCCCCACAGACTAGGTACAATTTAATGGACTGCCAGAGGTAGGCCCCAAAGGAAGGGTAAAAGAGCATTGCTGAACACACATCCCAGATGTCTCTCATTGCCCCCCACATGTCATAAACTGGTCTCCCCCAATACAGCAAGACAGCAATTCTGATCCCTCTCTCTCCCTGGTATGAAAAAAATGCCATGGTGGGCACACAGGGCCAATACACGAATATATACAGGGTTAGGTGCGTGTGAACCATGTGAACAGACCAAACAACATTGTTACTGTTGACTCCCTGCCTTGTACAACAAATGCTTAAACCAAATTTGTTTCAAACTGGTCTGGTCAGATCTGATTATCTCAACCCTTTGGGCACCGAATAAAGCTATTGAGATTTATGATCGCTGTTCTCCATGCACTGTTCATTCACTGCTTCCTCCCTCTGCCCTGTGGCAGGCTAGAGAGGAGAATTGGATGCACAAAAGGAAAAGATTGCAGGTTGAGTTAAGAAAAATTTACTGGAATCAGCAGTGAAGTAAGAAATGAACACTTAACAGATTCAATATTAATAAAAGGGTGTACAAGAGAAACAATTCACACTACACTGGCTGGAAAACTACTCCCTTACCCCTGCCCCTGGTAGTGAAGTAAGGTGGTATAGGATAACCCAATCACTCTGGCTGCTCCAAAAATTAACCTTGTCCTGGCCAGAACCAGCACAGCTACTTAATACAGATGAGAAATACTTGAATTTCTACCAGTATTTTTACAGGTTTATTTTGGTGGGTTTTTTGGCAGAAATAGGTTTATAGCTTAAATTTCATTAATAATAATCAGTTTGTGTAATCCAGTGATACTCTGAACAGTCATTTTACTCTGCATCCTCTATGATGTTAAATAACAGTTCTAATGTGATGAACACATAGGTAGTCGTAATCATAGAGATGTATTCTTTTATAACATTTAGTGGTTTGTTTTTGAGTTGCTAAACATCTCAGAATATTGGAATGTTAGTATTAGGTGTTATCCTTTCTTTGTATCCTCTCTCTAGGTTTGATAGGGTGATTGTACAAAAATACCTTTCATGATACATTTTAACTTATACTTAAAATGCCTGCAGTAATACAGCTATGTGAAATAGTGTCTCCATCTTGTCTGAAAGAAATAACTTGCCTGTACTGTGTTGATGCAATTCAGTGTGCATTTTTAGAGCATAAAAACTCAAACTAAAGTAGTTTTACAGACCTCATGGTATTCAGTGGTTTTGAGTGACATGTTTTGAGCTCTGTTGTTCAAGAAATAAGTGAATAGCCAGGAATGGATTTGGTATAAGGTTTATTTGAACTGCATTGTTATCTTGAGTTTGCCTTTGATTCAGTGTATTTTCTGTTCAGAACTGCAGCATGGGTGAAAAGAACTTCCAGCTGTTTGGTATGGTGGTGTGGTTTGAGGATCAGGTATTTGCTTACATGAATAAATAATACAGTAGTGAGTTGCTTCTTCACTTAAAATAACTTAATATTTAACTGTGAAGACAAGCCTAAATACATTAAATATGTTTTTAAATTAGTGCTGGTAGTTGCAGTAATTTTTCATTTTGAAATGAGGATGTTTTGGGGCTTTTTAATGGTTGTTTTTCTGGTAAGGTTCTCAAAACTGTAGGTAGCTAGCTTGTATATGTAAGTACTAACATGCTCCATTGTGCTTATTTCCCTTGCTTTTGTCTGCCAGTGTATCTTGATCTTATTTGGACTGTGACAGATCCAAGTTCAATTTCAACTTCACATATTTTTGTTTAGTATGATAAGATTCTTGTTTGTTAGATATGTCTTGACCTGAAGTTGTCTTAATGTTTACTTTGAACGTTATAACGTAGGATGCAATACTTTATAACAAAAACCTCTACTAATAACTTAGTGTTTCATGGTAACTAATACCTAATCAGCTGTCCTAGTTCACCTGTTACTGAAAACCCTGCAGAAAACCTGTAAAAGGTTTTTCTTTTTTTCCCATCTTCAATCTTTGTAACCCTTTTGTCCCTTTCTAAGTTGTTCTTACAAAAGCTCCTGGCCAAATGACCAGGCGCCTTCACAGATCCATTGCTACCAACCTGAGGAGATTGTAACTAGATAGGAGCACATCTTTTTCAGAAGTTTGTCTGAAACTCCAAAATATGTCTGTGTCTTGGCTGTTACATCCTTGCAAGCTTTCAAATTCTTCAGCAGGTTTTTTTTCTGGTTCAGATTTCTCAGCTACTTGTCTCGAAAAAGTTTTCTGGAGTATTTGTGACCTTTATAAGCTATTTATACTGTAGCAGCATGGAAGCAGAAATCCTCTTCCAAGTGAGATTAGAAATCTTAGTGAAAAGATTTACACATTGTTACTTCCGTAATTTTTTGTCTGTTTTTTTTAGGGTTCTTCTCCATATTAGTCCTGGAAGTTGCAGTTAAGGTTATTGGAATACAAAAGCTGTTAGAAATTCTGTGACATTTTATTCTTTTGCAGTAAAACAAACCAGACCATATCACTTCTTTACTAATAAAGTCAGCATCATCTTACTTTGATCATTTCTCCAAATAAAAAAACCAAGCACACCCTTAAAGTAAAAGAACTTCCCAGCCCATTTTCTCTACTTTTGGGAAAAACTTATAGACTTTTGCCTGAAACATAGAATATCCAGGTTGACCTTCTGTGCCCGGTTTGAAGTGGGTTTAAAATCTGGATCTTCATTACTGTGGGCAAACATCCTGCATGAGATCTTGGATCCATAGCTTTATGCTCTGCATCCAACTTCTTTGGTGCTATAGATGCGTTAGTCTTGACTGAATTTGTGGGCAGGGATCTCTGAGGGTTTAGTGGGGATGAGAGAAGGGGGAGCTAAGATTGAGATATGGTGGTCCAGGTTTCTTAACAGAAGGATATTTGAAGTGACTGTTGGTACACCTATAGTAAGTTGAAATACTTCCCTTGCAGAGATTTCTCACTGTATTGGAATGGAGGAACAACTTTCTGTTAAGTGGAAGTCCTATTTAAAACTAATTAACTCATATTAATCAGAACAAATTGCCATATAGTATATTTGTATTTAAGTACTATGTGTTTCTCTGGAGAATAAGTGGTAATATTTCCTAAAATCGTATTAATAAACTAAAGGATATAGGTCTTAGTGCTTCAGAAGAAGCTGACAAGTTAAAATCAATTATGAGCAGACACATTCTTAGATATTTTTCCACTCTGCTGTGGGGATGTTAACAGCACTGTTTTACATTTCTAGTACAGCTCATTGTCCTTTCTAAATCCTCAGCAAGGTAGCTGGATTTTGTACAATACACTTATATTTGTGGCTTCTTGCACTGCTCTCTTCATAAATGAAGCATGGCCTATACCCTCCCATCAAATTTGACACAGTAACCTATATATGAAATCCGTGGGCTATAAAAATCCATGGGTTTTGTTCATAGTATATTTTCCAAAGAAAGATTGAGATTATAAGGAAGAGTGTAAAATATGAGTGTAGGAGATTAGTATGGAATTTTTGGCCTACATTTGCCTTAAAAGTTAAGGAAAAAAATGTCCCATTTTTTAATACTGGCTGTTTTTCATCCAGTATCTTGAAGTGGAAAAGTTGCATTTGTGTGCTCATAATAAATATTAGGTTCCATAGTGTAAATTGCATTAGAACTCACCTATCTTCAATTTTTGTTCTGTTAATGTTGTGAGTTTTTTTCTTAAAATGGTAGTTAGGCATTTGATCATCTTAATTTGAGTATTGTACTAGTGAGTTGTCAGGTTGTATTGGGGAAAATGAAAAATACTGTCTGTCTTCTGTTCAGAGTCTGCATCTGTGGACAAGTCTGTATCCCATTCTTGCACAACTCCTTCTACATCTTCTGCTTCTGGACTGAATCCAACTTCTGCGCCTGCTTCATCTGCTCCTACAGTTCCTGTTTCACCTATCCCACAATCACCAATTCCTCCATTACTTCAGGACCCAAATCTCCTTCGACAGCTGCTGCCTGCTCTGCAAGCCACCTTGCAGCTTAATAATTCTAGCGTAGATATATCCAAAATCAATGAAGGTAAGGATTCTTTAAAGTTCATGTAATCTCTCATTTACATACATTCGTATATTATTGCATACCAGGCTGTAGTAAATGAAAGCCTTATCTTAATTGAAAAGTGAATGAATGAATCCCTAGGTAAAGTGGAGATTTTTGTGCGTTTTTTTTTTTCTGTTAAACCTTCTCAACATTTAAGGTTTTCAAATTAATAAATGTTGATGTACGTGAGCAGTGTAATTGAAACTGGTGACTTAATCACTGTATCAGTGTTTGTCTGTTGCACAAAATTTCCGTAGAGCTCTTTGTTCTTTTGTTTCGTGCGCTGTTCTTTGTTTTCTGTAGTTTGTGCTGCTGTTCTATTAACGTGTGTTGCAAATAGTGAAACTTCTAGGGGTTCTTAAATCTTGTTGCCTAACAACTTTTTTTCTTTAGCGTAACAAAGAAAGCCTCTCTGAATACAGGTAGCGTATCAGTAACTTTGCTAGCCACTGGAATTTTGTACATTTATTCGGTGCGTCCCTTAGATTTTGGTTGCATTGGCTTAGGTTATTAGAAGTCAGTTTATCACTTACCTATAGTGCCTTTTGCTGCAAGAGCAGGTGGAGTTGATGCACTTTGATTGCAGTTTTATCTAATGTGTCTGCATGTGACAGGTTACTGATAAAGTGGTGTAGGATTTTTTGTTTGTTTCTCGTGCAAGGATCACTGATTTAAATAGGAAGTAAAATTGACGTGGAGAGCTGAGAGTTAATTGTCTTTAACTTTGGGAAAGTGCAAATCAAGTTAAGGGAAATTACTTACAAAGTATTGTGTACCTTGCAATTATTCATCAGAAAAAGAGGTCAATTGCTTCCTTTTAATCAGCAAATATTCTGTCTTCATTCAGTACTAATAAGTGAGTAGGTCACTGGTTTCTTTTTCTATGGAGGGAAAGTTTTTAAAACTGTAGTGCACTAGGTTGGACTAAAAAAAGAAGTGTTATGGTTGTGTTGAAAAATGAAAGGTCCACTCACCTCCAATTGTATTTTATTAAAAAGCTGCCCAGTGAAATTTCTAGTAATTTTCTCTTGCCATGTGAGCAGCAGCTCTGTATGTTTTGGAACAAGAGTGTTCAGAATTGTTCTGATGTCATGAGGGCCTGGCTGTGTCCACGTGAACAGAGTGACTTCACCTTGCATAGCAGGGCTGGCCTTACTGTGTGCACGATTCAGAGTTACTCTGTGCTTGTGCTGGTGAGTCAGTTTTTTCAGGAGTGTGCATGGCTGGAAGGTATGTTCAGGAAGTATCCCACAGAGCCTGTAGACCTTTTTGGAAAGGTTGATTCAGAAGCTCCGAGTTCAGGGTCTTGTCATCTCATACTGCAAGATGCTCTTCCTGTATTGTGCAGTTTTAAAATGGTTTAAAATGATTGGTTTTTTTTACTGGTGGGGAGTTGACATTGGACAGCTAAACCCAGAACAGATAAGGGTTTTTTTTGTTAGTAAGAAGAAACGTGGATTTTTAACCTTCAAGAGATTTGTCTTCCTCTTGAACATGAAGTCTGCCCCCCCATCTTTTTTATTGAGTTGAAGGGATTCTGCCTTTTGCTTTTTTTAAAAAATTATTGTAGAATAAAAAAATCTTCACACATGTTGTGCTTACTACAGTAGCAAATTGAGCAAATTTTCTCTTGCTGTTTACAAGAATTATTACTAATTATAAGGTCAACCAGAAGACTCAACGTTATTTTTTAAAAGAATTTTTTGTTAAGTCTATGCCTTAAAGTTAAAACTACTAAAGAAAGGGCTTGCTAGACATTCCAAGTCACCTTGAAATCAAGTAACTGAAGAACAGTTCAGGTGGATTTTTGGTCATGGTAGATATGGGAAATAAATCTGAAAGAAAACATACCTTAAATGTAATCAGCCAGTTTCAACAGTTTGGAGTGGTGTTCTAGAATTGTCAGTAAAACAGAATGTTTGTTTTCAGTTCTAACAGCAGCTGTGACACAAGCCTCTCTGCAGTCTATACTCCATAAAATTCTTACTGCTGGACCATCTGCTTTCAATATCACCTCCCTAATTTCTCAAGCTGCACAACTGTCTACGCAAGGTATTCAGAGGTTTTTTTTTTTTTTCACTTACATAAATTGTTACACAACGTTTTAAAAGGGCTGATACAGTTGTGGAATCTGTCTCTTGTCATATCTTTTGCCACACAGTGTGGAGAATGTGGAATGACTTCTTTTTCCAAAGATAGGGCAAAAAATTGTTATTGAGCAGCAGGAACCTGACACACTACTAAGTAAACATGCTTCTGTGTCTCACCTTTTGGGATTTTCTTTGTGTGTTAAGAAATTCTACATGAGTGATGTGAAAATTCTGGAATTAGGTGTTACTTAACAGTATAAAACACAACTTTCTTACTTCAACACCCATCATGTAGTACTGTGCAACTGTGACTCTTGGGGAGGCTTCAAATTCTTAAAAGAAAGTTTGCTTTGTCTGGTGGAGACTGCTTTTTTTTCACCTTCCAGACAAGATACTCTTTCAGGTATTTCCAGTATGTTCTGGCTTGTAACTTAATTTAAAAAAACCTTAAGTTTTAAAGTTTGGAAACTTAAACCAAAACAATAAATGCAATCATCTTACTGAGTAGGTAAGCAGTGCTAATGGTAATTTTTAACGATAGGTGAGGAACTGTTAGTATATGCCTAGAATGGATTAATAAGTTTTTATATAAACCCTTCATGCTTTCTTTCGGTTAAATCAAGTTGAGCACTCTAAAATAGGAATCACATATGATTTATTCTCTACATGTGTAAAAAGCATTTCCCACTAGCTTCTTCTCTTTCCCCTCCCCTGAAATTTTAGATGTGGGGAGTTTGGGGGAAATGCAATTCCTTAGCTAGGATTGTTGTTTCACATTAGATTGTTCTAGTTGTTCACAGTGAGCATATATGTTTGTGTATCATCTAATGTAGCATACTCCAGAGTACCAAAAGAAAATCTAATTCGCATTTACAATAGTACATGATTTTATTAAAAGATTTTTTTTTTTTTCCTTTACAGCTCAGCCATCTAATCAGTCTCCAATGTCTTTAACATCTGATGCCTCATCACCAAGATCATATGTGTCTCCAAGGATAAGCACGCCGCAGACTAACACTGTTCCACTTAAACCTTTGATGACTACGCCACCAGTATCATCGCAGCAGAAGGTAAGCTCCTTTTGACTTAGGCCATATTGTACTAAGAAGCCATTGTACATAATATTGTTCCTATATATCCATGTGTTAACAGTTATATATAGGATAATAAAATATGTATTATTCCCAGTAGAAACAATCAATGGAAGCAACTACTTGACTGTATTTTGGCAGTGCAGCTCCAGCATGAAATCTAGTTTACTTTTCTTGAGGAAATTCTTAATGCTGCCCTCAGATGCTGTCTGGAGATATTACCAATGCATTGGTATTCTAGCATATTTAAATAGAAATAAAAGCATACTTCAAGGGCAACAACTGATACTATTATTTAGACTTAGCCAATAAAAGATGTTTAGAATGGGAGACAACTTCTTGGGGAAATTAACTTGAAGTAGTCTCAGATTTTGTTCAGAAGTGTTTTAGGTGTTTACAGATCAATAACGTAATGTTCCTTTCCCTTCCTGCCCCCTCACCTCTCTTCATTCAGAATTCCTTCATTGGGTCAGTGACTAGGAAATGTAAATTGAAGCTCACCTATAAACTCCTGAGGTTCTTCCTGAGAAGCATAACTGTAGATTTTGGGGTGAGACACCCCCACCTTCCTAAAATCCATCTTCTCTATCACCACTCCTGCTTAGCTCAGTTTTTCTCAATTTTCTGCTCACAAATGAACATCTGATGTCTTGGATGCATTTGAGGAATACTTTTCTCTGCAGGAGAACACATTACATTCCTCATTACATTCAGAATGCGTCATTTTCTTTCATCAGATTTTTTTCATGGGTACAAAGAAAACCAAGTGATCCTCCCAGTTTCTTTTGATTGACAGTGATACAATGAATTGCAAAGCTTCATGTGTGTACGTACCAGTACTGGTTGTTACCTTGGTTTCTGGCCCTGGATTGCATCCTCAGTCTGTGTTCACATCCCATAGCTAGGTGGCAAGTAATGAAATTATCAAACAGCAGGATTGAGATATTTGGTACTTTCAAAGCTGAGATATGAAAAAGAATCTTCTTAAGTTGTGTACTGTCAATAACTGGAAGTAGATCTTTTCTGGTCTCTACAATCCAGAGACTGATTGTGAGTCCCTGAAGTAACAAATTTTTGTTCTGCAGCAGATACTTTGCCAGTTCAATAAAAAAATAACTGTCTTGATAGTTCTGGTATTTGTGTAACTCAGTTCCATGAGATGGGAACTTAGGTGGTCATAGCTCTGGTGTGAGCACCTCTGTTTTAGCAGCCCGTTGGATATGTGAGTCAGGCTAGCTTGTCCAGTTGTATAGGTTGAGGTAAATTATGCCTAAGCAAGATGTGGTGCTGTGCCAGGACACACTTGGTTTTAGAGCACATGGGCTTAGAGCCAACAAAGCTGAACTGGCTCTGTGTAAGAGAAGATGCACAGGGGTTTGAGCTGGCTGTGGGATACAGTAGTGCCAGTGGCACAGTACCATTGCTTAGGACTGAACATGTCAGTGCTGCTCTCAGACTGAAGCTGCTGTGGCTGCCTGTGGGAGTGCTGTGTGCATGTGGCAGCTCAGGGGTCACACTCCAGGAGCCTGGAGGTCACTTTCTGCCTTTTAGCTGTGCCTGTATTGTGTGATCAGAAACTGTTCTGAATTTCTGCAAAGTAGTTATGTAAAGCACTTTACACAGACCTGTCAAACTCAGTGAGAATGTTCTTTTGGTCAATTGGTTTATTTGGTTTTTTTAAAATTTATTTAGCCCTTATTATTTTTTCTGGTATATGTATTTACAGTTTTTGAAACACTTTGAAGACATGGAATAGTTGCGAGGTTTTGTGGTTCATTTATTTCACAAATCCCATGGTCCTTCGTTATTTTTGCCAGCCAAGGAGCTGGTTACTTTACCAGTTTGGATCTGCTGTATGATTCCTTTACTGATGATGGACTTCCCTTTTGAAATTGTTCTGTTTCAACAGCCTTGGTGGTTTAATGTCTGCTCACAGGCTGAGCAAAATGCAGGCATTAATAGCAAAGTTGTTGATGTCATACATTTCATAAAGGTACTTGTGTAGTCTGTTTTCATAAATCAGTTTACAATCTGCTACTCTTTCACTCTCCTGAGCTATATAGTTCTGTTTATTTCAACGGCAGAATGATCTTACAGTTATCTTGCTTTTTCCTTTTAGTACCATGGACTTCTCATGTGCTACTCAGACTTCTTTAGTATATGGCTATTAATCTAAAAACCAGAAAGAACATATTTTCGTTTTGATGATAATTTTAAAAGGTGACGAGTTTGAATTTGCATTAAGACCCCCCCCCCCCCCCCCCCCCCCCGCATATTTAAATGAATCCAGTTATGTCTTGAGTTTACTTTACCATCTGTGGTTCGTTTCATAGAAGTCTGTTTCTGAAATAGAGAGTATTTCTCGAGGTTCAGGTGACCAGTAGTTAGTAATCTACACTAATGTGAAGTCAGCCAATGCCAGAGCTGCTGGACAGTTTGGTTTTTTTGTCTTTATGGATCCCTAGAAGCCATTTTTTCTTTGCTCTCTCCCTTTTCTCTCAAAATTGTTAGCTTGATTTTGCAAAATGAAGGATAAATTCTGAAGCTTAACCTCTCTTGTACGTACTTCAAACTTGACTGATGTATGCAGAGCATTGGGCAAGATATGAAGTGTCTTGAACTTCATTTGCTGTAAATTAGACATTACTAGAGTCCCAAACTTCTCATTCTGATGTAGTTCAGAAATTCACAGGAAAGACTGTATCTTACTGCTGGTATTTTGATACCTTGGATTGAATGTATAGTACAAAGGAAAAGCAAGAAGGTACTGATGACTATTTTTGTAGTCACCCATGAGTTTAGAACTTAGAGAAAAGGGAGCAGCAAACTGATAAGTATGCTTAAGATTTTCTTTTCCGTTTTTGATAGAGATGTTTTTAATATGCTTGTGATGTAATTATGTTCTTGACACTGTGTAATGTATTTTCAAGTAGAGAACTCTTAAGTTTGTACATGAAGATTTTGTTTGGATATTGAACACATCTTCTGAGGTTGAAAATGAGCTCAGTGCTCAGCTGGGAGATACAGTCAAAAATAATATTGAGTTGAACTGTTTTGCCTAATAAGCTTGCAGTATTTTGACAAGTCACATGGGTCTAAATTTGCTTCTGTTATGTCTATTAATAACCCCTTCTTAGTAAAAAAAACACCTTTCTGTCACAGCTGTGGAACTAGAATTTTTTTTTAAAAAAAACACCTTGTGAAGATAATAAAAATTGTGTCAGCAAAATGCCTTTTATCAAAAAACCCTACAGGTGTTGAAACTGTAATTTCCTTGGTTTTCTCTGTTTCTTACACTTGTTTTTTAGTGTGGAGGAATTCTAATGAAGTTTTGAACTTTCTAGGTTGCTACTCCAGGTGTTAAACAAGGACCAGCTTCCCAGGCAGCACCTCAGCAGCCAGTAATAGCTGACAAGCAGGCAGGTCATGAACCTGCCTCTCCACGAAGTCTTCAGCGTTCAAGGTATATTGAAATGCTTCTCTCTTCTGTCTTTAGTTTTTATCTGCATTCAATGTGTGTTGTATATGTTGCAGTTCGTGCACTCTCTCTGGCCAGTTTATTGAACTGCTGCTATATTTAACTGCTGCTACTGAGATGATGCAGCTAAGCACCTTTGTTACGTATTTAATGTGGTAGATTCTCCATTGTTGGGGTAATCATTAGACCATTCTCACAGAAGCAGAATGGAACTCACAGTTGTGTTCTCTCACTCCGGTGGCAATTTTACAAGTGATTCTTTGTATTGTGATTTCAGAGTTTGGAGTTTCTGTCTCTGTGCAGTTACAGAATCTGTGATGCTTAGTGTTAGATGTTTGTAGTGTCTTGCTGTAGTGTAATTTGATTTTGAAATTAGCATGATTTTTTGGTTTGTCACGTGATTTTTTAATGAAAAACATTAAAATTTAGTAATTTACAAATACCTTTCCTTGGCCAGACTTTTTTGTCAACATTGCAACTTACTAAGATGTTGCATGGTACCAACATTTAACCATTGATTTACCAGGTGGGTTTGGAATCTGTATCTTTGAAAGTTTTCTTTTGGGAAGATGGACTCTGCATAGTGTCAGATGCTCTGTTTTTTGTCATATTGGTTCCAGGGGCTGTGACCAAAGATGTGTCATGAGTCATGTCAGATGTGTCATGGTGTAGAACTGTAGTAGGAAGAAGTTGACTTTTTTAGAGGTTCTGTAAATGAGCAGTTCTTAATAGCTGGATTTTTAGAGTGATTGAATAAGGTGTGTGGTGTGATAGGGTATGAAAAAAACAAACAAAAAACCAAAACCCAATACTCTTGCATTGTCAGCATACCTGAAGCTACACATGGTGGTGCTTTCCAGATAATCAAATAGTGAGATCCTTTTATCTGCCCTTCTGGGACTAATAACAAAGGGGACTTTTGTTTGGTGTTGGTTTTTTTTCTTGGTGGGTGGTTTTTTTTGTTTGTTTGTTTGTTTGGTTTTTTTTGTTTTGGTTTTTTTTTTTTTTTTTTTTGTTTTTTTTTGTTTTTTTTGGGGTTTTTTTGTTTGTTTGGGTTGTTTTTGTGGGCTTTTTTTTGTTTGTTTGTTTGGGGTTTTTTTGTTGGTTTTGGCTGTTTTGTGGGGAGAAGAGATGTGTGTTTTGAGGTGTTTTGGGGAACTGGGTTATCTGTTGTGTGCTTGGCACTCCTGTCCCAGAAGCTGGCTTTACTGACGACCCTGGAGTATTGACCAGTTTGAGGGTACAGACACAAGCAAGTCAGAAGTTTTTGAGTTTTTAATGTAGGCTGTTTTACAGACACTTGATTCTAAGCTTTGGTGGATTACAACTCATTATAACTCATTTATCTCTTTTAGGAGAATAAAGGCAAAGTGTCCAACTCCAGTCCCTAGCAATTATGAATGCTATTTAAATTTTTCTGAATTCTAGTACCAAAGATAAAGTTACACTTTGCAGCAAGCTAAGCTTTTTTATGAGTGGTGAGGTTTTGGGGGACAGCTCTCAGTCACAGGCCTTTTTGTTCTTTGCTCATCACTCTCTCTGCACAGGAAATCTTGTTAAGAGAGATAGTCTTCTTGCAGACCTTTACCATGGGTTAGAGTCTGTGAGTTGATGCTGGTGGGCATTTGGCCTGCTAGTCCATACCTCACCCTTCCTTTGGGTTACATGAGTTTGTACTCCAGCATGACCCTTACCTACAGTGAGTTGAGGGATCTGCTGTCCCTCTGCAAACCTTTGCTCCATTTGACATCAGCGTTTTGGTGGAGGAAGCTGAGTTTGCTCCAGCACTGGGACAATGTGCAGGTAGCACGCTCTCGTGGCTGAGGACAGGAGGCAGTGGCAGGCCAGGGTGAAAGATACTGAGACAGTGTTAGTATTGTTCAGTATCCTGTGTCTCTCAAATTAATACATGTTTGTGACTCTGCTGTATTGTGCATCGTGAGTTCATGTGAGTTCATGTTCAGTTCCGTTCGCTTTGGAAGTGTCTCATTTGCAACAAGTGGAAGATTAAGGAATAGGTGACTTGGAAAAACCTGTGTGACTGGTATTCTGTTGATTGCGGTGGAGTTGAATGAAAGTGAACCAGTTGAGATAATGATTTACTTACCTGCAAAAGATCTGCTGTGTCCAGGCAGTATGTCTGAATTGATAGGGAACAGATGATTCCTTTGTAGGTGAAAGCAGTTGGTTGGATTGGGAATTGCTCTTGGAAGCAGTTTTTACTTTTATAGGAGTGAACAACAATTTAGCAAACTGAACTGTGGACTGATGGTCCAGAATCTTTTTAGCTCTGTGAATTAAGGGTGCAGGTTTTCTCCAGCTTAAATTCTGATTAATTGAGCAGAAGTTCATCACAGCTGCATTTCCGTGGCTCGTTAAAAGTTTTAAGTAAATGGAGGTAAAATTATTTTTGACTTGTTGGGGTGGAAACACAGTGTGAGAAAACCTGAGTAGCTCTTGTTAACTTTCAAGAAGTAAACATTTCAGCCGTTTAAGTGGGGAAATTAACACAATGCATACATTGAGTCTGTCTGTTAGAGATGATTCCAAAGACACACAATCAATTATGGCTGTTTTAAATATGAAACTAAATTAGTACTTCCATAATTAATAGTTTCATCAGGTTGGTAGTTTCTTTCTGTTTTCAGAAAGGACTGAGAGAAATTTTCCTTTACCTTGTGAAGTTGCTGTGAAGGGAGGTATTTCATTGCATTTTTTGTAGGTTGTAAAATTCTGCCATTTGTAGTAGTATATTTCAGAACCATGATGTTTTAATACCCTTGATACAGATATTTTTGCCTCTCTGGAGGCATTCTGTTACTTGTGGCATAGTCAGTCTTTAACTCAGCTAAGGCAAGTATTTCTCTTTAGTGAAGCATTTAAAAATACTGTGGTAGTTTGGAACAGTCATTGCTGCATTCGTAGCTCCCCCTGCTGCTGACACAGCAGTGCTTAGGATATTTTGTGACAGTATGCTTTAGTCATAATTAAGATACAACTTCATTTTTGAGAAGCCCGCAATTTTATTTATTTTCTTGAAACATTTCTGATGTTACAGTTTATTAATGAAGATGTTTACTAATGAAGTAGGAGTAGGAGAAGACAGGCTGATAAATGAAGAGGAGGCAAGTCAGAGGGGGAAATTTAATTCTAGTAGAGCTAAGGAGTAGATAAGGTTATTCTACTTAATAGATAAGGTGAATTCTACTTAATTAATAACAGTAGCCTGTCTGTGCACTATCACTGTGCTAAATTAATGTATTGCTAAATGACGCTAAATAAATATATTGAAACTTAGAATAATTTATTTTGGAACGGAATTCTAGCTGCAGTCTACTTTGGTCCAATTAGAGTAGGACTGGCAAGTTTGAATTGCTAAGGGCATTGTTAGGTGATTTTTTTTTTTAATATCTCAGAATGTCTTCTGATGCTTCACTGCCCTTATGGTGATTCTTTTTTTCTCATGTCTGCTTAGAATTTCCCTTGTTGCAACTTGTCTCTGCCTCTTGTGCTATCACTGTGCATCTCTGAAAAGTCTGTTCTCCCCAAAAGTAGTAAAAATCTGCCAAAAGACCCCTCAGTCCCCTTCCCCTCAGTCTTCTGGTTTCCAGACTAAATGCACTTCAAGCTTCTTCTGATACAGCAGGTACTTCAGCCCCTTAGTTGCCTGTGTGATCCTCTGCCCCATTCTTTTGCTATAGCAGTTTAGTTCTTGTCCGGTTTTAGGTTTCCCACTGCACTGTGCTCTGGATACTGTGAATCTCATAAGCTCTGAAAAGAGGGGAGGAATTGCCTTTTTTATAGGAGAAGTGCTTCATCCCTGTTGTTGGCTTGGTGACTCTCTGGCTTTGTTCCAGCAGGTCCAGTCAGACATCCAATTTGTTGGCTGTAATTCTTAATGCTGTAATTCTTTGCAAGTGTGAGTTGATTAGGGTAAGTGTCTGGGCCTTGGACTAGAGAGATAGTTGCATTATGTAAGGAACTTTTCAGTCTTCAAAGGGACTGGCAGGTTAGGTGGTGAATCAGAAGTCCTTTAAAATTTGGTTCTCCTTCATAATACTTTCTTCTTGCCTGCAAGTGATACAAAGTTTTAAGAAATAGACTGAATTTATGGCCTGTGTTGAAAAGCTTCTGCCAGTGGGAGAGTTGCACTTACCTAGTTTTGCACTTAAAAAATTATTTACTATTTCTCAGTACGGGCAGCGCCAAAGAACATTTTAACTGTGAGGTACCATCACTGTTATGCTGAGTGTGTTTCAGTAAAGCAGTCAGGTTTGCTGGCTACAAACACACTGCTCCTGTGGTACTTCTGTTCTCCTGAGTGCATTCAGTAAAGATGTACAGTGTCACAAAACCATGTAGATTGTGTTGTGACATGAGTAGTAAACTCCTCAAATCCCATATGACTGTATTTTGAGATCAGGACATCAGACATTGTTCTTAATGATTCTGGCACACCTCTTTTGAATAAACCTGTTTGCCTCCCATCTGATACATCATTACTGAAAATCTTAGGTTTTCAGCTGTTCTAAGGAAGAACATACATATATTTTCTATCCAACACCATTTAGACACAGCTTACATCTCTTGAACAGCTCCCACAGTTAAAAACCAGACAAACACAGAACCTTACCAAACAACAAAATCCTCCTGTTACATTGTAGCACTCATTTCCAATTAAAGTTAGGGGTTTGTAGAAAGGTGGCACATGTTTGGTCTACCAGAAGTATTTACTTGTGGTTTGAACACTTTATGTATTTTTGTGCCTGGAAGCAATGAAATTTTCATTGTTCATTTCCCTATAGAGTCAGATATGTTTTTAAACACTCACTTGCTTTTTTAAATTCTTTCTTCTAGTAGTCAAAGAAGTCCATCACCAGGTCCAAATCATACCTCTAGCAGTAGTGCATCAAACTCAACACCTGCACCACAGAACACATCTGTACGACCCACATGTTCATTAACACCTACGCTAGCAGCACACTTCAATGAAAACCTTATAAAGCACGTTCAAGGCTGGCCTGCAGATCACGCAGAAAAGCAGGTGAGTGCTCCTTTGCTTTGTTACCTGTCAGAGTGCATAATATGTAGCTTAAAATTTGGCTTTCTTACTCATGTTGTTTTTTCTAGGAATTAAAAGTATTAAAACCCTTATTCTTGTCCTCAGCCAGAAGAGAGGAGAGAGAGATTAGGCCAGACCTGCAGGTTTTACATGTGTTTGCCTTCCAGTGCTTGGGTATTTTCAGTCTCACTTGGTGTGTCAATGCTTTTGAAACTCCCTCAGATGAATAGCTATCCTCATAACTATTTTCATACTGCTAAAGTTCTGTTGAAATTTATGCAGAACATAGAGTTCAAGACTTTTTCATAATGATATTTTGGTTATGTGGAAAACATTATAAAGTAGGTACAGAATTAGACTATTTGAGAATTTTCCATTATTTTAGTTACTGACATGTTAGTTCTACAAAGTGAAAAAGAAACTACCTTGTTTGTAAATTATTGTAGAATACTCAGACTGAATTTGGGCTATTTTTACATAATGGGAAATCCATTCAAACTGTCATCCATATATTATAGCTAATTACATGAAACCTGTTCTGTTGTAGTAATACAAGGAAACTGGATGCATGTCAGCTGCTTGGAATGTATTACTCAAAGGAACCATATTGGTTATTGAATCTAGTTATTTCCACAGGCAGCCATATCTGGTGCAGTCTGTTTGGGGTAATAATCTTACCTAGCCCAGTTTAATTTGGTCTTCTGAAGAGTTGTTGCATGCTGGCACAATTCTACGCTGGAGACTTTCGGATAGTAACTTGTGAGATGACTCTCACAAGCACAGTCTAAACTGAGACCCTGTTAGGATTCCTGCTTCTGTTCCCTGATTTGATAAAGTTGGTTTTAAGACATTACCAACCTGTACTGAGTCAAACATTGAGGCATTGCTGCAGAGTGTCTTGGAAATAGTGTAGCACAGGCACTTACCTGTGGCCATGGTCTGTAGTTTTGAAAGTATTATTTTCACGGTGTACTGAATTCACAAGTATCTTAATATAGAAAGCAGATTTATGCAGTGCATAGGCTTTGGGGTCTTTTTCCCTTGCTGGTAATAAAGAGATCAAAAAAACTCAGCTAGTGCTAGCAGTGATTACTCAGTTGGATACTTCTCCCTTTGTGCTGTATTGCCCTGCCTGCTATTTCAGATGATTTCACATGGTGGTCTTGTTTATAAACCAGTTTTGAATAGTAGCACTTGAGGCACTTAAGTGAGATATTTGATATAAAAGTGAATGAAAGTATAGGTGCAGTACATAGTAAGAAGATAAGATAGATCAAAGTGGAGAGACTAAAAATCCAGTGCCTTGGTTTCTTCGGATCATTGCCAGATATATAGTGTAATTTGAACTTAAGGCAAAAGAGTACATGCTGGAGTAAACTGAAAAATAAATAAATAAATTAGAAGAGTCAGGACAGGTATGTGCTAAAGCAGTTGGACTTGAAATGTGCTGTGCAGTAGTTAATAGCTAAAACATTCTTGAATTATAGCAATTAGCTCACAGAACTCATAAAAAGCACTTAACATGGGACACTGAAAAAAATTCAGTAACTGGAGTTGTGCAGAGAAGACATGGGCAGTTATATTCTACTGGAGACCAGGTTACTCCTGGATGTTAATAAACTCCAGAAACAAAAACTTTTAATGTAGGAATTAGAACACAAAATGCTGCTTTGAACTGGAGAAATGCCAAAAGTTGATGGAGACCTGTGCTAAGTAACATTCTTTTTGGGAAGGAAAATTAAGTGTACAAGTACCTAAGCAGATGTGGATGAATCCCAGTAGGCAGCTAAGCACCACACAGCCACTTGCTCACTCTGCTCCAGTTGGATAGGGGAAACAATTAGGCAAAAGTGAGAAAAGTTGAGTTGAGGTAAAAGCAGGTCAAAGAGTAAAAGAGGGTGGGGGAAAGTGATGCAGAAGCAGTCACTACCAGCCAGCCAGTGCAGTGCCAGTCCGAGCCATGGCAACCCTGGAACATTGCCCCCCCAGTTTTACTGCTGAGCATGGCACATGTATGGTATGGAATATCCCTGAGGTCAGTTTGGGTCAGCTGTCTCAGTTTTGTTCCCTCCCTGCCTGTTGTCCACCCACAATGGATTTGCTGGGTGGAGAGCAGGTCAGAGAGAAAGGGAGAAACCCCGATGCTGTGTTGTCAGCACTGGCTTGGTCACAGTTTCAAAACATGGCACCACATGGCACCATTCTCTTCTCTATGAAGAGGATTAATTCCATCCCAGCCAGACCCAGTGTAGCAGAGGGTAACATTGCTAAACAGTAATGTTGTAGGGAAGGCTGTATTTTGAAACAATTTTTCCATGTGCCACTTGAAAGAAGTCCTGTTCCCTATTGCAGTGTAATGCACGGGGCCTCAGATAATTATGCTGGTATCCTTGGTGCTGTTGAGGAGCTCCCTGGAGTCATATGCAGTACAGTGATGACACTGCAAGAAATGCACAAATTGGGAATTGGATAGGTCATGCTCTTTAAATTTACACTCCTGCTTATCTCCAGCTGACAAAGTGGGAATGTTCAAGTAATGGAGTTGGTCTGTTAGAGAACACCTGAAAAGGGTTGCAAAGCTTTTTTTTTGTCAGGTAGAAGTTAGCTAGAAAGAAGATGGCATTCACTTATTTTTGTCAGTAAGGATTAATGGGAAATTTAAGTCTGCTGTTGGAATAATGGTTGGAGACTTTGAACTACTTGAAAAAATTATTTCAGAAACTCCAAGCCCTGTCACGTATTATGTTTCAAGATGGTTGGCTAAACATTTAGGATCCAAAAAGTCTAAACTAGCCCTGCCTTAGCATAGGCATAGGTTAGACAGTTTCTGGGCAGCAGTGTTGTTTATTTGTGATTCAGAATGGGCTTTTGTAGAGAACTTAATGTGCTTCTGATTTAATACTGCCTTTTGAAATTAGAGTGCGTTGCTGTTTCAAGAGACACTGATCCAGCAATTCTTTGGCTGCTGCCAGTTGTTTCCAATGCATGATTCAAAATCCTAACCTTTGTTTAACCACTGCAGGCATCAAGATTACGTGAGGAAGCCCATAACATGGGAAGTGTGCATATGTCAGAAATTTGTACTGAATTAAAGAATTTAAGGTCTTTAGTTCGAGTATGTGAAATTCAAGCAACTTTGCGTGAGCAAAGGTAAGTGTGTGCTCTGTGCTTATCTTCAGTTTTTAGGGTGTTACTAGGACTTCCATTCTTGCATTATTTTGCATGAGTTCTGTTTACTGATGACTGTAAGTACACCAGTACTTGCCATGTTTGCAAGCTGTCTTCCATGTGTACATTCTGCCTGTTTCTCTCCACTAAACAGAAGCAGATAGGCAATTTCTGTATCTGCTTTTACTTGGATAGAAAAGAAGTATCTTGCAGAAACCTTAGTGCATTACAAAGAACTGATGAGCTCACAGTATTTCAGCATGCTTCTAGAGTATCAGTCCATACATAATGCATAGATGCACGTCTGCACATTTTATCCTGATCTGAAACACTACAGTTGATATGAGAAATTCAATAGATCTAAAGCCAGAGCGAGTTTGAACAGGTGTAATTTACATCACAAGTGAAGGAGAAATTAATGTTTGCTTATAGCAAAGTAGATTTGGCTTCTGAAGTCAGTGATAGCAGGTGTCCTGTGTATCATTTCAGTGATACACAGCCAGGCTTTTGAATACTTTTGTGCAAGATTGGAAACTGTAATCATAAAATACATGCTCAGAATATTCACCAGTAGTCATGATTTTGTATCTGCTTCCATACTCAGTTTCCTCTTTCAATGATGTTATCCCAACTATTAAGTCACACTACAGTTTGAATACAGTGCTTCTGACCTACTATTTGAAGCCACCTTAATTGTGTTGCATGCTGTTAAAATAGCTGCATTTATTCTAGAAGCTCTTGAATTTTGGGAGATAGCAAAACAATCCTTTAGAAGCAGGCTATAGTATATTTGTAAACCTTTCCTGATAAAGAATTGAAGATACCCATTCTTTCTGAAGCTTTATTTCATAACTTCACTACATGAATTATGATTTCTGTAGTATATTTAGTGAATGGCTTGGTTTCTTACAGTTTTAATTTCCTAAGGTGTCATTTGTCTCTGCACATTTGATCTGAAGTAATGTGTCAAATGTCACTGTTCAGCTCATTAAATAGCACCTTCTTTCTTGTACACTTTGTATCCTTAAGCTGTCAATGGATAATTATTATTATGACTTTGAGCCTATAGTAACTTGTATCTTTTATTTTTGCTGCAATCCCAAAGATGTGGAATACAAGGCATAAGTAACCAAGTTGATGGGGGAGGCTTTCGCAAAGGATGGGATTATCATAATCAATACATTTAAGTGATGTTACTATTTCTGTACTTCTGCACAGAAGAGTGCTACTTAAATTTCTTCCAAGAAGGAACTTCATCTCTAGATAAAACACATACATTGTTTGAATCTTAACTGACAGCATGTGAAAAGGCACTTTTCATTGACTGATATATTTTATATGCCCATGCCTTGAAGCTAAATATTATCTTTTCGGTGTCTCTATATTAATACATTATTTTCCACCTACTTTTCAGTAGAAAATTAATTTTTAATGAACTGGGCACATATTTGTAAAGTGTTCCACAAAAGTGCTGAATTGTTCCTTTTTCTGCATTTGTTAAAGTTACTTCAGCTTTCATAGAATATTTCTATAAAACCTAAATTCTCCCTGAGTATTTTCTTATTTCACTGACATGTTAGCATTTCACTTCAGCATCATGAAAAGTGGTTTCAAAATGTTAATTGAAAATTCTGGGAGAGAGTCCTGTGAACCAGATGTTTGTTAGTCACGGTAATTGTTTTATGTCAGTTCAGAAGAAGAGAAAAAAGGTATAAGAAGTTGTGAGCAATACAATTTGTTTTGAAGCAAGGTGTATTTTTTACTTTTTATCTTGCATGCCTTTTAATGATGCCTCAAATATTTTTGAGATTGGAGCTTACCATAAGTAGAGACTACTGTTAGCCACAGAGGCAGATATTTTTAAAAAGCAAGTGAGAAGAAGACTCCATTTTTTTTTTAAAAAAAAGAGCACTTTAGATTTTTTTACAATCTGGAAAACTGCATGACAAAGGCATAATGTTGTTCTCCCGATTATTCAGTTACTTGGCTTACTTGCCAGTGTCCTGCTTTTTCTGGAAGTTACATTCAAGTGAAAAGCAGACCTAAACACAACTGTGTATCAGTCATAATAGAAATACAGCAACTTAGTTTTTTTAACTAAAGTGTCAAACATACCAAGCCTTTGTGCATCTGCACATCGTTGTAGATTATTGAATAGATTGGGAATTAACTTGATATCTGAATTTTTTAATGGGGCTAAGGAAATTGGTATATTTCACTGAAATTGTAAAAGTACTTGTGTTGATGCTTATTTAATACATCTGTATAGTGGAACAGTTTATACTAATTAATTTCTTTTCTCTTGCAGGATACTATTTTTGAGGCAACAAATTAAAGAACTTGAAAAGCTAAAGAATCAGAATTCCTTCATGGTGTGAAAAATTGTAAACAATTGCACATGGTTTTGAGTACAGGAACTATTAAACTGATGCCCAGTCTTAACACTTTTGAGCTGCATTTGAGTAGACTTTGGACCGTTGAGCTGGGCAGAAAAAAAAGTTGACATGGGGAAGGGGACAGGAGGGAGTCAAATTCAGGGGAAAGATACAAGAATGATTTGTAAAACCCTTGAAATGTAGATTTCTTGTAGATGTATTCTTCACGTTGTAAATATATTTTGTAGAGTGAAGCCATGGGAAGCCATGTGTATCAGAGCTTAGACATCCAAAACTAATCAATGCTGAGGTGGCTAAATACCTAGCCTCTTACATGTAAACCTGTCTGCAAAATTAGCTTTCTTTTTTTTTTCTTTTTTTTTTGAAATTTTTCATTTCCTAAAATTCAATGCAAGCGCCAGGCGATTTGTGTCTAAGGCTGCAACAGTTTGGGCAATGTACAAAATACCACGAAACAACTGTTTCCACACTTGCACCGAGTCGAGAGCAGTGCTTCTCCATTTCTGTTTTACAGAGAAATGTTTTTCATCTTCTGTGTTCCATTTCCCCGTGAAATCCTAAATCTGATTTTATCAGCTTTTTAATGCTTCTAATTTTCTCTTTTCTTAAGGCACTGTTGCTATGGCACTTTTTCTATAATCTTTTCATTCCTGTGTACAGTAGCTTAAAATTGCAGTGATTGAGCATAACCCACTTGTTTGTATAAATTATTGAAACGTATTTCCATTTGCACCCTGTAAGAATGGACTTAGAGTACTGCTGGGCATGTGTGCTGAAAGTACATTACTTGCTCAAATATAAGGAAATAGCCCAATGAACATGTTAACATGGTTGTGGGAGGGGAAAGAGGAAAAAAAAAAAGCTAGTCAGATGTGAATTGTATCTGTTGTAATAAACATGTTAAAGCAAAGAAACACTGGTTTTCATTTCCTTTGGTCAACACATTAAAATTTGGTCTTTTTGGGGATTCTTTATTAGAACTGTTCTTGTTGAACATTTTTGTACTTAAATAATTCCTCAAGGAAGGTTTTGTTTAAAACTTGTAAACAAGAAAATATGTATAAAATATTTAAGGAAATATAAAATTCAACAAGGATGATTTAAGACACCTCCCCAACAGTTGTCATATGTTAACTCCTGGTTTACCTGTCTTGATATTATGACATTTCATTTCGAAGGATGTTTGTGTTGTAGCTAACTGTTTAAGTCTGGTGCTGACTGCTGTTCTTAACCATCACAAGACGCTGAATTTGTGTAATTGGAGCAACTCACCATTTGAAAATGGTGGAAAAGCTCAGCTTTGTATATTGTTTCCTAAAGTATATTAAAAATAAAAAAGAAACTATTGCTACTACAAAATAAACGTGACTTTTTCTTTGCTTAAAAATGACAGAAATCGTGATGGCAGTTCTAGTTTAATACTTGTAGAGGTGTATATGTCACGGCAGTCTGTTAAGTAGGAAAGATAATAGGAGATGGATTAAAAAAAAAGAACTTAATGATACAAATGTTGACATGTGAACATGTGATATTTTGTGTTTTGTTCCTAAAAAATAATTTCAGCACCAGAAATGGTACTCAATTTTTGTGTTGAGTGAGCTTGGACTGATTTTTAAAATCAGGTTTTTAAAATCAGTAGAAGCTAAATGCTCTGATTTAACAAAACATTGCAAATGGAGCATGTTGAAATACCTAACTAACAACAACAATGGGAAGTTGGGACAGATGAACTTGTAATTTTTACTCACTTTTTAACCCAGTATGTTCTGTTGTGTTTCATATCATGCAGATGTTTGATTTTTCTCAGAAGATGGGAGTAATCTTGAATGAATTAATTGGAGCATACATTGTTTCTGCATTTCTAGAGACCCAAGATGGAGTGGCAAAATTCTTCCTGAGACTTTCATATTTGCTTTGCATCCTATTTTTGGAAGTTGCCCAAGTGTAGGGAGATAGCATGTGAAGTGCATGGGAGTGTGCAAGGGATCTCTCACCAGTAGCTGTCCTTAGTTTAGGTATTTTGCTGTTTTGTTACTTGGTGAGACAAAGGTGGTTTCTATCTTAACAGATGTGCTGGGTCTATTTTCCATGAGCTTATTTTGTTTCCTTTTGCTTGTTATACTGCCCTCTATAACATCCTATATCAATGAGCCTCAGAAGTTAATTTTATTTTTAGAAAAGTATTTTGGATTATTTTTTTTAATTTCTATTTTGAATTAATTTTCTTATGTTTAACTACTGCCTGTTGATCTTGCAGTTTTGCAGAAGAGTGTCCTTTCCAGCCTAAAAAATGCTAGTCTGTTTATCACTTGAAAACTTTCATAAAGTACGAGTGGTCACAGATAATTTGGGAGTCACAAGGATTAATGTGCCACTTTAACCCCCTCAAACCACCTGCATAAATACCCATCACACAGAGACTTGCTCTTTCTTCAGGTGATGCCCTCCCTAACTGCAGTAAAGGTGGCTGCTTTGTCACCATCTAGTGACATGTCCTCACCTTGTTGGGTTCTGTATTTGCTCCCCATGCAATAGCTTTCCTCCCCATCCCCCATACCCTTCCAACACCTGGAGCTGCTGTCAGCTGAGGAGGGACAGCCTGACAGACTTGTCTAGTACTAGACAAGTTAGGGAAGGGAATTGCAGGCACTGCTTTAAAGTCAGCATTAATTGAAGAGTGTAGGTCAGGTTAAGGTCCTTCAAAATGGCTTCAGTAAGATGCAAATACAGTCCTGGCCTTACTGTGTGATCTGGAGACCCTCTTTGGCTTCTGTAGTGTGCCAAAGCCAGCGTTCTGTAAACTCCTTGGGGAAAAAAACATGGATTTTTCTCCTCCCTATCAAATCTTCTATATGAAGCTGGACAAAAATGAGCAGGTGTGCTGAGACCTATTACTAGATTACCAGTTTTTCATTAATTATCCATCCTGAAGCTGATGCTATCCCTCACATTGGTTAATTAAATGGGTTTTACTGAATTGCTCTGCACCTGTAAGTCAAATCAAGTGAAATTCCCCTGAATCAAACCTTGTATTTTTCCTAGGCAGGTGTTCAGAAGGTGTTTATTGGAGCTGTGGGATGTGTTTTCTGTATTAATTACTTCATAGAGATGGTCATGGAAAAGTGATAACAAACTGGGGCAAGAACTGTTGTTGCATACGTTGCTTTTGATTTTCTTATGCATTTGCTAAGCACCTGTTTAGCATAATAGAAAAACAGCCTTCAGAATAACTGAGGAGATGGTCTGAGCTGGTACATCATACTGCAGGCAGTGCCATTGGGCTAGTAATTTGTCACATGTTGTGGCATGCTCAAGGACTACAGCAGGAGCAGCTTAATATGATTATAAAATGACATGACTGATCAAGGAATTCGTGTTTCTACTTCATTGTTGAGGGACTCTAATTCTTCTGCAGGTGAATGTATTCTTTTCACTGACCCTGATCTGAAGGTGCTGTGGTCAACTGCTCAATTTGCATCAACTTTCCCTGCCTACACTGATCTTCTGTAGCAATGCAAATTTCTTTTCAGACTTGTTTCATTAATTGCATCTCTTTTGGCAGGAGCATCTTATCTTTTGGTGGATGCTGGTGCTGTCTTTACTGTTGCAATTAAAAATATGTTCAGAAAGAGTGTATAATTGAGGCCAGGAAGAATTTTTAAAATATCCATTCTTTTTTGGAGCAGCCTCATTGCAGGACTATCCCCAAAGATACATGAGAAAATACTGGGTAGTTGTGCCACGCCTCCTAAGTCAGTGGGTCAAAGAAGGCCATGTCTTACCGTCACCCTTTCATTCCAGTGTCATCTTGCCTGTGGTGACAACCTGAGGACTTAGCAAAGCAGAGTCCTTTGTTGCTGTGAGTTTGGCTGCCATGGGCAGTACTGTATGTTCTGCTGCAAGGAAAAGATTGATGTACCCTGAGCATCACTGCCATGGTGCCTCAGGGACTCGTGAGCCCGCTGTGTGTGAGGGGCAATCACTTCACCTCTGTATCAACACACAGCTGTTCTATATATAGTTAAATATCAAGTCCATTCTTGGAATTAGCTGGATGTTTCTGTGAATATGTCATGCTGATCCTGGAATATTTTGTCCTGACCAAATCAATCTCATTTACATGATTACAAGATTAGAAACAAGATTATAATGAGGCAAATCTGAATGTTTTTAAAAAAATGCCTCGACTTTTGGAAGTTTGCAGCAGAGAAATGTTCTGAGCTAAAGTGCTATCACAGTGACATCAGCACTACTCTTCTGCCCATCATTGCTGATTAATGATATGTGGAGGTTTCTTTTGTTTTGGTTTTCTTTTTTGTTTTATATTATTTCTTAAGAATTGGAGCTTTTGATATGGGAGGAATATGTTTTGTTGCCTAGCAAAACGAAAAAAATCCCTTTTTTTGACAGTTGTTTTCCTGTAGTCAGTCAAGCAAAAGCTTTCATTTGCAATTGAGATCCATATCAGACGTTGACTTCTGCAAAAAAATATTTTCAGCATTGTTAGTTTTGGATTCCAGTTACGCATCACTCTTTTTAGATATCTGTTAAGTTTATTTTCTGTCTCTGGTCTACAGCAGATGCTCGAAAATACTGTCTTTCATAGCTGTAGGCATCAGCTTTATCCTCCTAACCTCAATAGATGCCTGTGTTGCTGCTGCTATACTAACCCATCTGGAACTGTTTCCTAGATGCTCCTTGATACAGACTTCTGTATTTTCCAACTATGGCTTTTTTGTTTGGGGAACCTCTCTGAGGGAAAGGACTGATGTAGACTCTCTACCACTCAGGGCTCCAGGTAGCTGAGAATCTGAAAGTCACAAAGCACTTTTCTCCTCCCTAATAAAGGCACTAACCCACCTGAACTAGGACTTTCTAGAGAATGAGCTGTCAGGTTCTGTCTCCCATGGGAGCTAGGAACATCCTGGGAAGGATGTTGCATCCTGGATGGTCCTCCCTGGAGCTGATGGGCTGTGTGCAGCTGTACTACACAGCTTCACTTACCAGAGTTAGCACAGCAGGCTTGCAAACACAGCTTGAGTGACCTGATCTTTCCAGCAGTTACTCAGTATGTGTGACAGTATTTTGTCACCGTCTGTTAGTCACACGTGCCAGAGAGCATTTGCAAAGGGATGCTACCTACTCCTGCATGCAGCACCATGCTCAAAGACTAATCCCTGTGCTCCAGTTTGAAATCTCAGAATCTGGCTGTGTAAAAGTGTGTTAATACAGTGATGCTCAGAATGTTAATTCAACCTCATCTTCCTTTTCACTGTCTGTTACAAAAAAAAAACACTCATGGAAAATACTGTCATAGTCCTCTGTATCAGCAGCTAGAATTTCTAGAATTTAAGTGCAAGTCACAAACTGATTCTCCTCATTCTCCCAAATCTGAAGTTGGTCCATGGAGATCAGTTAGTGTGTTGCCTTAGAGTTCTGAACAGCCTGGACAGTTCCGTTGCCTGGCCAGACAGATTTGCTGACAAGGTCTTACATACTTCTCTGGGCAAAATTCTGTGTTTGCATCTTTTTTCAGTGTATTGCCTGGCCAGGCAGATTTGCTGACAAGGTCTTACTTCTCTGGGCAAAATTCTGTGTTTGCATCTTTTTTCAGTGTAATTGGGATGCTGTGAGAATTTGACTGGGGTTCCTGTTCTGCTGGATGCATCCTCATTAGTAGCAGAAAACTTACCCTGGGAAGAGTTATTTGGTAAAATGACCAAAGCCCATGGCAGATGGTGCTACAGAAGGTGAATGTGTTGTCAGCAAGCCTGGACTACGTGATGGTGCCAAGGAACTTGGATGTCCATCATGCCACCCAGGTTTCTTTAGCTGCTGCTCTCCATCCTCAGAGCAAAGGATTTTTCTTCCCCCGTTTGGAAGGTTTATTAAATTTGTTCGTGTTGGAGA